TCTGGCTCTTTCCTTATGAGATTCTTGACAGGTAGAGATCTCTCACTAATATTGTCTGTTATTCCATAGGGAATAAGCGTATATATAGAGGCAGAGGAGAGGGTTGGGGAACCCTAGTCCTAGACAGACTTAAACATAGATTCAGCCTATCATTAAACCAATTAAAGGTTTAAGACTATACGAACTCTATCAATAACATATAACCCCAAATACATGACCAATATAAGAATACTAATAATTAAATAAATATTCTAACAAATTGATCGAATATTGTGAAGACTTTACCTCGAGCAGTGAAACATTAAATGCTATATGCCTTTGGATATTAGCTGTGTTTTTAATTAATACATCCTGCGGGCACAACTTATTTGGAATTTGCAATTTCTATATTTTTATTAAATGTCACTTGTAATCCCGTGAAGCACACTACATCATTATACTCTACAAACTTTTGGCGGGAACTTGTTCTACAAGTTTCCTTTTGGTATTATATTATAATAATAATAGATTTTCAATGTTGATACCATACAGAGACCAAAATTTAATAATATAGAGACCAAAAGAAATTGACTTCTTATTCATTTTAAGCTTATTATTATTAATTATTATTAGTTGTTTGCTCGACTGATCAAAGTTCAATAACACAGAGATCAAAAGAAATTAATGTATAGGAACTAAAAGCTTGAGTGAGGAGTTGCCTTAATTGTGTGGACTTCTTATTCATCTTGTCTCTCAACTGTCATTTTTAGCTTCTTATTACCTACAGGAGTGTGTGTATTTTTTGTTAGATGCATTCTACTCAAGAAAAAAAAAATAAAGGTGTCAAATGCCTAGATGAAAAAGTGACATTATTTTTTAAAGTGCTATACGAAAGGGTGAAAAAAGATCCAATTGAAAACCCAACATTTATAGGTAAAGATTGAAGTGATATGGATTGTGAAATGCTAAATTATAATGTTTGAAGACAGCATCAAAGTACCAATAGTGTTTGTATTTGTTTTTGAAGACAATGTAGTATTTTATTATAAACGTTATTTATTATACTTTGTCTGTGGATTATCACTTGTTCACTTTTTGTTTTATTTCAAATATCAAATTTGGAAAACATGTTTTCACATTTGGAAAATGGAATTGGAAAATGAAAACAGAAAACTGGAGAACGGAAAACAAAAAAAAACTAGAAAACTGGAGAAACAAGTAAATGGGTCCTAAATGTTCAATTCTACTAGGCACACCAATATGCATACTTTTTTAGTCACTAGGAAAAACTCAGGATTCACTATCACCCTCACCACTTGACTCTAACTCAATGCTTTTCTTCTTCTTCTTAGTTACCCAGCCCAACCCAACTTTCCTTGTATTGCCTTCACTATCATCATGTACTTTATCTTCATCCTCTAGAAAATTATCATAATATTTTGGAATTGTACCATGTTTCTGTCTCACCTCACTTTGTGTTGTTCAGTTAGTTGTCACTTCCTGTTGTTTGGCTCATCCCTATTCGAGCCTCTTCTTCATGAAACTATGTTGTCTCACTTTGAATTTCAACATCTTTTAGAATTCCTGCATTTACGGTTGAAGGCAGAGCTAGCTCAGGGAGGATTTATGTCTCATCAAGACCATGCACTACATATATATCTACTACACCCTAATTAAACGTCGTTTCAATTAGCTGAAGGGTAGACTTATCATTCCATAGTGGTTGTAGCAACGACATGTTCTCTTAACGTAGTTTGAATGATAATGACTCCACTTTTTATTTGAATCAGATGTGATATACTTCTACAAGTGAGGATAGAAATTCTTATCTGGGTCAAGAGTTGCACATTCCACCTCACCATTAACATACGACAATTTTTGGGTCTTTAATGAAAACTTATTTATATATTCTTTCAGCTACGAAAAATATCCTGTAAAAACAAATATTATATAATTCAATACTTTAGACAATTTCTTAAAACGACTTAATAAAGCATTGTACTATACTCTTTTGTTTTACAAGCCGACTACGTATAAAGGATTTGTGAGGTTTGATGGGCATCCCCAAGGTGACAGAGGAAACCCAACATACAGAAAAATCAACTTCGAAGCTTTCATTATGTAAAAGCATGAATAGAAAAGGTAAAAGAGGTATAAGCCTTTGCAGATTTTTACTACGCAACAAATCCTAATAAATGATCACAAAGGAACTATACCATGTTATCTTCTCTAGAAGTATGAGTTAAAGGTGATGAGTGTACCAGTCATGAACAAAATCAACCAAACTTTTCATATACTAACTAAAACTCTCAAATATGAAGTTAAAACACGAGTCAAAATTAACACGAAGAACCTGCAATCCAGTAGATTGAACAATTCCCGCTTCACGCTCACAATCATATCCCTCCACCATTGTCACTCGCCATGGAATGAGTCATTTGGGCTTGTAAAATTTTGAATGGAAATCCCTAGGTAAAATCGCGGCCACGAGGAGTGTATACACATTTCAGGGAAATCTCTAATTCATCTGACATGGCTAAAAAGTATATGACCATTTTAGCTATTTTACATATAACTTTTTCTTTATTTTATTAATAAAATATATTTTAAAAATATTTTTTTCTTATATCAGCAGAATCAGCCAATGCAGCCACTTCAGCCAGAACTTCATAAATTTCAGCACAATCAGCCAAAACAGCCGATTTTCGTACTACCAAACGGGCTCAATATCTGTGACCGCATCAATAAAGTACCAGGCTACTAATGAAACAAATCAACAAATTTGTTGCTTGTCAATACGCTCTAGGATCTAAGGTTTTCCGAATTCAATGCTTATTACTAAGCACAACCTCAAACTTGAAACTTAAAAGGATAGGAAAAAGCTCAAATGTTGGAGTCCAAGTATAAACGAATTTTAAGCCAAATATAAGAAAAGTTATTGCATAAATTTGAAGTTGGTAAACTAATACAAGGGTCTACATAATACCAGCTCCAACTGTATTCAAAAATAGGTGATAGATTATAGGGATCCAAACATTTATAATTAGAGGAGAGTTGAGCTAAGAGAGGTGGAGAAGATAATGAATAGTAATGTATGAATGTGTAGAGATTATCAATTAGGGTTTACAAGCTCCAAAAGGTAGGACTGGCAATATCACCCGCACCCATGGATACCCAATCATGAAGGCAATATCACCCGCACCCAAAATTCCTTGTGAACGGCAATATCACATTTCAGCTAAACAACAAAGTATATTTCAAAAAATCATTTGTCTGATTTCTCGGTTGAATGTTTAGCTGGAATTTGGTATGAGCACATTAGACTTAATAAAAAAGATGCTCAAAAAAATTCATCAAAAAAATCCACCAGAAACCACCCTAAATGGCGACGTCCGGACATAGCCTCCTATAAAAGAGGTGATTTGCACTTTTTATGTAAGTTTGAGGGTTTATTTGGTAGTTCTCCCTTTTATTTATTTCTTAAAAAATTTACATTTTCACATACTTTATATCAATTTTAAGTGAAATGTTACCTTTTACTTTTAGTAAAAAATTGTGTTATAATTTTGTAATTACTTCATATTAATTACATTATTAATTTTAAAAAGTATTATTTGATCTCACATTCTTTGTTTGGCCCTGACTAGTGTTCGTTCTCTTGTTCATATACTCTTTAAAGTGCACCTTTTATATTATAATTTAAACGAGAGGCCATGATTAATTCCCACCTTTCCAGTCAAACTCAAATTTCCTGTTTCATTGTTCTCGTGATCCGCTAATTTTATTTAATGTTATTGATCTAACCGACTTCACTGAGAAGGTTTTAAGCAAATGATTAACTAATTAAAAAGATATAAATTCTAACAATATAATAACATACGTAGTAATAAAGACTTTTGATTAACTAAATAGAAAAGACATCAATTCTAACAATACAAAAACATACGTATAGTAGTAATAATTAGATAAAATGGGCAAATAAGCCATCGAATTAATAAAAAAAAGTGCAAATAAACCTTTACATAGGAGATTCTGTACGGCCGTTGTTTTGGGAAGGCTTCCGGTGATAAATTTTTTGATAAATTTGCGTTGTTTTGGGTGCAAATAATAAGCCATCGAATTTTTTGATAAATTTTTTGAACATCTTCTTCATTAAGACAAAAAGTATACATAAAAAAAATAAAAAAAATATGAGTACAGAATTTACTTAGAGACATGACAAAATAAATATTGCAAATTGAAATGCTTTGATTTAAAAAAAGAATAGAACATGCAAAGTATTATGTCACATTCAATAAGCGTGAAGAACTTGGTTAAAAACATTCTATAAAATACAATATTGAAATGTATTTGATTCAAAGCAATTACAAAGGGGGGAGGGGTAGAGCATATATAGATAGATAGATGAGCTTGATCCTTATAACTTAAATAAAATTCCCCCTTAAATATACACTGCTAAATAGTATGCCTCGTTCAGACCCTATTAAGTAAAATACGTTGGGGGAAAAACAGAGTGAAGAAAAAAGATTACATATTTTTTAAATACGCTTAAAGAGTGGCGCCTTATTAAAAACCTTGCCGAGGAAAACTATGTGAGATAAAAATGGGATGGATTCTTAGCATGGGAAAAAGAGTACAATGTGCATTTACTCCCCATGATTGATGAAGCTTGGTGATTAAGATGTGGTGATAACGATTGATGGAGCTTGATGATTTTCATTGGGAACTTCTCCAAATGACGACGGCCGGACAAAACCTCCTATATAAAGCCTTATTTACACTTTGTTTTTTGTTAATTCGTCTTAAGTTTCGAATAATTAATAAAGACTTTTAAAGACTTCTAATAGAATACGTAGTATGAAATTGGTAATTTTGTTTTGGAGGAGTGTTACTACGTATTATACAGTCATTAGTGAATAAAATTACTTTTAAATCAATTAATTAAGCTCAACGAAGTTTGTGAATATTATCATAAGGTAATTAGCTGAACCTGTACGGCCCTGTAGCATATTTCAACCATCGTTAATCGCTTGAAACAGTTACTCAAAAGAATTTTCTCCATGCTTCATTTATAAAAATATTTCTAATCGTAATAAATGAATATATTAATCAATAATCCGTATGAATATTACAACGCAGCGTGACGGATTGCATTCAAATTATACGAGTCACAGCATCAGTGAGTTGAACGTGAGTCCGAGTCAACTCAAATCTATCTGACATATCCAAACTACATCGTGCCATGATCGTGACTCCAGTGCTCACCCAGAAACGTCTTCGCAGCATCCAAACTCGGAAAATACGTCGGCTCCAAAAATATCTGAGCAAGCAAATCGCCGGAATTTGCGTTCCCCGTCGCCGGATTCGCCTTAGCCTCTAAGCTCCCCATAACCACAACCAGAAGCTGCCTGTACGAGTAGTAATATCGCTTCAGAGCCATTTCGATCGCTTGAAGTGCTTGAAGCAGATAAATCTTATGGGGGCAGTCTTTCCTTCGATACAACTCCATCGCCGCTTCCTGAATCCTCGGGCCGCCGTGAGGATCAACTTCTACGTCGAGAATACACGGGACTTTGTGCTTCAGCATCTTCGAGAGCTTCGTGATTTCCACTAATCCTCTGGATCTGAAGCAGAAGAGCTCAGATTCAGCGCTTGCTTTGATGCACAACTGATTTTTCAGGCGGAGGAAATCGTCTGGATCCATTAGCAGGTGGAGATCTTGTATTTCCGCTAACAGCTTCCATGTTTTTTCCAGAATCCAACAATCGCTTCCGGCCTTCTCGAATTCCTTCCGATCGATTCTCTGTGATATTCGATTTATGAGCGCTTTCGATGCGTAGATCCAGGATTCGAGCACTTGCATAGTTGTGTATAGGGTCTGGTTCTCGTAGTTCTGTAGATTAAGGCTCTCCGATGGGCTTTTCTTAAGTGAATGAAGCTCAGACGGCTTGACGATCGCATCGTAGTCGAGGCTCGGTTTGCCGGTGAGATTCGGCTCGCCTAAGCCGAGAGTGTACGGGCATCGCCGCATCTCGCTTTCTATGCTGTCCAGAACCTTCTGAGCCAAGTCTTCCGATTTGTGCCACGTCGACAGCCGAGGCAACAAGCTAGCTTCGCTCGTCCAGCTCACAACCGTAGTATCGCCGGACAGCTTCCACACCTCCACCGAGCTGTTCTCACGGGACAAAGCTGTTTCCGACGAGGTCAGATCCACAATCGGAGCCGCTCCTCGCGTTTCATCATCTTCCGCGTCGTCTTCGCATAACATAGATATGATCTCGACTTGATTCCTCGCCAGAGATTCCAGCCTCCGCTTCCATTCTTTGCGATGAGCGTACGGTCTAGGATCCGATAAGACGATGGAGACAAAGCGGAAAGTGGTCTCAAGCCCTTGCAGAGCCGGTTTCAACAGAGACTCATTCTTCCACTCAGGAAAATCCTTAGAAATCCAGAGCTTACGCAGCTCCGGCAGCCTCAAGTAGTACTCATAGGCTGAGCAAGCGGATTCAGACGCCGCCGTTAACTCTGAGGCTTGAACCTGCGGTGGCGGAATAGAAATCTGATGCTTATTCAAAATTCTGGGCGATTTTTTCGACTTGTCAGGGGAAACCATATCCGTTTTCCGGTCATAATCAAGCATTTTTTTCTTTAAAAATTAAACACTAGAGGTGTACGAATATTAGAATTTCGAAAAGAAATAGAGAGTGAGATATCCCTGAATGATATGGGGGATTTGAAAGTGTTTATATAGATAAGTGGAGAAGGCGTGTGGAGATAAAGTGGATAGGAGGATAATCAAAGGCGCCAGTGGAGACTATGAACATTCTCGAATCTCGACCAGATTTCGAATTTCAGTTTTCAGTTTTTTTCTTTTTATAAAATAAAATGGGTGTTATTTTTCTCATGAACATTCTAATCTCCCATCTATTCATATCATAGTTTCAGGATCATTACATCAATCAAAGGAAAAATAAATCAGACACCAACTAAACTTCAATAACTACAACTCTAAACCCTATATATAATCAGATTTAGAGACGACTTCTACCCTGAAAGAGCAACACGAATCGCTAATCATGATCCATGCAGCGGGCTTGACATAGTCATCCCTGGTCCAATAGATCCAAACATTCCCAATGACATAAAAAGGCTAAATTTTCAAAGAAACTGACAAACCTAACAACATAGACGATTACAAGAAACCAAATGACAAAATAATAATAATTAATAAGAAAACTTTCACGAACCCTAGCACCTCGTACAACCCATGACGAAAGTTTAGGAGGAGGTCGTACCATTGGTACCACTCTGATGGATCCTCCATCGTCCACCGAGATCTGACCTACTTGAAGCCCGTGCAATTCTCCTCGTCCCGCACCCGTAGCAAAATCACCACTAGCGGTCATCTTCTTCGCTGTCAAGCCCTGTGATGCATTCATCTTTCCTTACTACCCTGCCTTACTACTTTGCGTCGCCCCAAACAAAGCCCTCGTGGCCTAAAGAGAGATAACCCGCAACCCTCGCGCCGCAAACTTTCGTGGTTGCAGCCCTCGTGGGGAACGATAAACTGCAAAAGAAGAGAAAGAGTAACACAAGCAGCAACCTTCGTGGCCGCTGACTAACGCCCTTCCTGTTGATTCCTTTGGGATAGTCGAGATACAACCCTAAGTCGAAGCGTCTGGAGACAATCACACTCTCCTTTTCGTCAATCTCCTTCCTTGTTGTCGATCAACGAAGGCCTACAACCTTTGACGAAAACAAACAAAAAACACTGCCGTTCTTTATCCTCGACGAAAACAGAATAAAAGCTCAAGCGGCGCGATGCCCTAGGGAGAAAACTCACAGCCATCTCCACCTAATTTGAAAAAAAGAATTAAATCATTGTTAACTTTGAAAAATAGGATCATGTTAAACACCAAGCAATGTGGAAACATGACCCTAATTACTCCTATCTAATATCTAGTCTATACAATAAAAACATGATACTCCAATTTTGAATTTTACTCCTAAAATAGATAACAAAAGAAATTAATATTTCCAGCGCATAGAATTTGTCTTATTATTTCAATAAGGAGTAATAAATGATATTGGGAGAATTCAGTGAAAGTCAAAACAAATACGAGTAGTCGAGTAATAAACGGAAACATTACCCTAAAAAAACGGAAACATTCATTTGATTTGTTCTTTTTTAATTTTTAGAAAGTGAAGCTTATCCACAAACAGATAATGTTGCAACCATACGAGATAGTCTAGATTACTTGTGTCAGTTGTGTGGAAGGACGACGTTTGTCAGATTCAATTAATAAACTCTTTATGCCCATTTTTCAATTAATAAAATCTCTGTCCATTATCTAGATATTACGATTACCGACATAATGATACAATAATTACGGCAAAAGTGGGACGGTTTTTCGATAAATTTATGGCATACTCCGTACGTATTATTAAAATACACTCCCTCCGTTCTTTATTATTAGGATGTTTTCTTTTGGACTGAAATTTGCTGGTCTGGTCTGGTCTGGTCTGTTTAAGTCTGGTCTGGTCTGGTCTGGTCTGTTTAAGTCTGGTCTGGTCTGGTCTGGTCTGTTTAAGTCTGGTCTGGTCTGGTCTGGTCTGTTTAAGTCTGGTCTGGTCTGGTCTGGGACTGAAAACAGTCCAAAAGAAAACATCCTTAGTCTTTCTTTCCTTTTTGGGACGGTTTTTTTTATATGTCATCCTTTCCATTTAAGGAAAGTTTTTACTTTAAATATACCTTTATATCCCCACTTTTATTACCATTACCCCTTTCTCTTTCCTACTTTTTCATTTACCCACTACTCATTATACCTTTTTACACTACCCCTACTACTTCACTCTTAAAACCCGTGCCAAAGCCTAAGGAGACTAATAAAAAAGAACGGAGGGAGTACTCCGCAGTATAAAAAGAACGTAACGACACCCAATCCTGATTCGTGAATGCCTTCCGGTTGAACGGTTTTGTGTGAACTTTAATCTCATTCTTATGAAAGTGCACTTTCATATCAAATTTGTTTGAAATTGAACCCGATACTTCTCCTTCGTGTCACCCCTTCACACTAGGTGGGCTATATATGCCCCTATGCCCTCGATATCATGACATGTATAATTCACTTTTCTTTCTAATTGTCTTTCCAAGTTTGGCGTGTAATATTGAATTATTAATTATATTACGGAGTATCAAGTTTCAGAAAAAACATCTAATAATTGTCTCATTAGTTACGTGAAGTTTATATTTTATATGAAATATATACATCAAATCTATAACTATATTTGTCTCATTTAAACTACCATTATTTTAGGCTACATAGGAAATATTCAATGCAAACATTGTTTAGAAACGATCTATCCTTCTATCCTTTTCACTCCGTATTATTGTATTAAGTTAAGTTTTGACCTCCTAAATCATTTTTCTGGTTCCGCGACCGTTTTAAACTAATTTTCTTGTAGACTTTACATTCATATATTGCATTAATTATTAAGGAATGGACTACTATACCCTTAATGGATCCAGACTTGGTCCACCCAAAATCCAATCGTTGAAAAGTTGGAACACTACCTATGGAAATGTGTGCCTCATTGCCCCAACAATTATGTTTGACGTTCCAGGATTTGCTTATGACTTGGCCTACACGACTTCCAATATATCCGCTAATTATTTTCTCTGTCTCTGACGTTCTACTGCATGCATCCTAAACTAAACATCATTTGGCAACCATATTTTCTTGATCACAATATATTTTTAGGGTATGAAATTTTATTTCAAATGTAATTACAGGATTAAAATAGTGAGTTTTGTGTGGTGGAGAGTTTTGTGTGGTGGAGAGAAATGCGTAAGAATTGTTGTGAACCACAAATTCGTTGCAAAAAAGGGAAAGATGAGACAAATTAGGGACGGACGAAAAAAGAAAGTTTGAATATAATTCAGGGACGAAGGGAGTATATAAGAGCAATTATTTAAATTATTTTAGAATTCAATACTCCATAGTTTATACTCAGTATTTTATCGGTTCAGAAGATCTTATAGGTAGTGTTCTAAAAGGCGCCAAAAGACGCCGCAAAGGCGGGCCTAGGTGTGAGGCGCCGATAAAATGTAGCCTTGGATCTTTTATTTTATCGTATTTTCAGTTTCCCTAATCTTAATAAATAATTTCATTTAATTATCCTTAAAGTATTTTCACTGTTCATTTTAGAGTCACCATTTTTATGAATAGTTAAAGTAATCACTCGGTCCAATCTTTGACTATAAGAAAGATAACTTTTATTTATGAAATAAACTCTTTAGTCATTACCGCGGCGAATCGGCGAGGCGCACAAGGAATCTATTCAATTTTACCGAATGCTACTTTATGGTTTTGCTAATTTGGCTTAGCTTTAGACTTGAGATAAACATATTTTACATCATTGCCTTTTTGCATAGGATTTTTTCTCATGCAAGGGCCCAGCGCCGATAGTTTGTTTTTCAAGGATAAAGGGCGAAATATTCTTTTCGTTTTTAATAAACTTCACACTTTTCTTTTTAGGACGATCTAAAATAAACTTCACACTTCCTTATTTCCTTTTTTGGCAAAGAAATCTACATCAAAACAGTGTCAAACAGTGTCTCAACAGTGCCAAACAGTGTCAAACAGTGCCTCAACAGTGTACTCTACAATAAAGTCAAATTTCTTTCCTTATTTTGTGTGAAGTCAGAAGATTAAAAAAACCGGAGGTAATATTATTTTAAAAGGTTCTTTGTTATGTATAAACTCATAATAAAAAATAATGGAGTACTTTATATTGAGACTATTAGTCAACATTCAAACCACTACAAGAACTAGCGTTTTTTGCGTCGACAAAAAGTCGACGCAAAAAGTCAAAAGTCGACGCAAATACTTTATTCGCGTCAACATGTGGACGCAAATGGGTCGACGCAAAAGGCTCGACGCAAAAAGGTTTTTAGCGTCCACTTCCGTCGACGCGAATAAATTTTATCTTTTGCGTCGACGTTGTCAACGCAAAAAGTCATGAAATTCGAAAAATAAAAAAAGATCTTTGGCGTCCACATGTGGACGCTAAAGGTTTTATATTTTCAAAAAAAATAAAAAAAATATCTTGAAATATAATTACCAGAATTACACTGTACTCAGCAACACAAGATCTTCAACAAATCAACACAAGATCTTTAAAACACAGAAAATACATAAATTTAATTATCAAATCACTAAGATGAACTACCATGTGTTGAAATAAAGACCATTCATCATCTATCTATGGAATTCAGAAAAGTGAACTACCATGTGTTGAAGTAGCTCAAAATGTGAATAACATACTACACTATACTAATTAAAATGTAAAGTTTCTATAATTTAAAAAATACAACCAATTGACGGGATTTGATACTTCTTGGGATACAAAATCCATGGATTAGAGCACTTCCACAGTTCCACCGGAAACTCCAAATATAGTGAAAAACCTATCAATCTAAGAGGGATGACATCAAAATTTTCTGCTGTTAGTTCTCAAACGATTAACAACCTTGCATAATGGAGAGAAAAATAGAAGAGCACCACGAAAGACACATTAATCAAACTGAAAAGCAAGGCATTATGTTATTCTGCCAATGCCACATCAAATTATCTAGTAAATGGGAAAAAACAAATAAAGAATCACCAGCCAACAAAACTTCCTTCGGATTCACCTTCAAATGGGATGCCAAAATATTATGATGATAATTGATATCATAGGCAACCTGAAACAAAGATCAACTTCAAAATTAATCACGTACAAAAGAAA